ATAAAATCGAAATTATATATACTCTTTTTTGATTGGTTAAAATTATATGACAATATCATAAGGTCATAAATATTTATGAATGACAAATGACAAATGACAAGTCATGTAAGTCATATAGGTCATATGATGTCATATACCAACACTGTGTAGATCCGGTTAACTATTTAAATATTATTCAGATATAATATGGATAATAGGATAATCCGAATTTATTCTAAGATATTATCTGTTCAAGAAAAGCTCTACACCAGGCAGAAAACATGTTATACTAAGCCAAAAGATTATCCCAGTACAAGGACATATTACACCAGAACAAAAACGTGCTATACCAAGCCAAAAGATTATCCTAGTACAAGAATATATTACACCAGAACAAGAATGTATCCCAATCTAAAGAAATGATACATATAGAGTTCTGAACAGGTCAGTTCAAGTCAGGTCAATCAAGTTACCTGAACTGAGAGGATCAGGTCAGGTCAAACAAAAATCTGACCTGATCTGATCCGACCTGATCGAATTATTATAAAACATTATTTTTAAATGATAAAATCATCATTCTTGAACGATAAAACTATCATTCTCGAACGATAAAACCATTGTTCTCAAATGATAAAATCATCATTTTTGAACGATAAATCATCATTTTTGAATGATAAATCATCGTTTTTGAACGATAAAATCATCATTATTGAACAATAAAATCATCGTTATTGAACGATAAATCATCGTTCTTGAACGATTATATTATCGCCAAGAATGATAAAACCATCGTTTTCAAAAGATAACGAATCGTTCTAATTGAACGATAAAACATCGTTCTTGAATGATAAAAACATCATTCTTGAACGATAAAAACATCGTTCATGAACGATAAAAACATCGTTCATAAACGATAAAACCATCGTTCTCAGACGATAATGAATCATTCTAATTGAACGATAAAACTAACGTTCTCAAATAATAAAAACATCATTTTCGGATGATAAAAAATCATTTTCAGACGATAAAAACATCGTTCTCAAATGATAAAACTATCGTTCAAGAATGATAATGAATCGTTCTAATTGAACGATAAAACTATCGTTCAAGAACGATGATTGGTTGACCTGAATTTTGTCAGGTCAGGTTGGATCGGGTCGACCTGTTGACCTGACCTGACATTAACCTGAAAACCTACTGACCCGATCTGGATTTTCAGGTCAGGTCAGGTCAAGTAAACAGGTCGACCTGACCTGATTCAGAGCTCTAGATACACAGTACTGAAAATGTAGTCAATGACGATTCAATATTGATATAGCAAATAATATTGCATAAGAACGAGGTGGTAAGTGCCTTTCTACAGAATATGTTAATACAGATATCCCGATGCTTTGGAAATGTGCCAAAGGTCACAAATGGTCTACAACCCTTTATCGAATAAAAAATATGGGAAGATGATGCATACAATGTGCTGGCAATCTTCCTTGTGGTCTTATAGAAGCTAAAGAAATCGCCTACAGTAGAGGAGATATGTGTCTTTCTACAGAATATATAAATCTCTGTGTTCTGATGCAATGGATGTGTAATAAAGGTCATAAATGGTTTTCAAGTTTTAATTATATAAAGCACTCCAAGACATGGTGCCCATATTGCTTAAATAAACATGAAAATCTATGTCATGAAGTCATAACTAACATTCTTGGCCCACCTTCTTGAAAATACCTGAACATCCTCGAGGACTAGAGCTTGATATCTACTATCTGCAGTATGGATTTGCTACAGAGGTACAGGGCAAACAACATGAGCAACATGTAAAATATTTTCACAAAAGTAAAGACGACTTTGAGAAACAGTTGATGCGTGATCAACTCAAGAAAGAATTATGCGAAAAGAATCAGATTACATTAAGGTATGTTTGGTATTACGAAGATCCAATATGTAGTTATTCCAGAGCATCTTCGAGAATTGGGTCTTATTGATTCTTTAAAATGCTTTACCGGTTATCTAATTCCACTTACATATACTATATTTTAAAGTTTGAGCAAAAACTGGAAACATCAAAAACACGTAACAAGACAAATTTTAATACATAAAACCAGTATATTAGCATAAAACAGAATACGTTGTTTATTATGTTCACAATGTACATATAAAAATTTTTCGATATATTAATATTCTAAGTGTATTATTAAATCGTGAAAGTAATAATAATAAGACTAAAGTTGCATTACGATTTTTCATCATCAAGCATTTCTTTCCTCTATATAATTCTTTTTTCTTTGACGATTTTTGTATTACCCGTACGAGGCTTGTTATGATTAATCTTTGAAAGAACTCGTAAATTGTGGGCGTTACTGTAGCGCGCACTTCTTTTGTTTCTTACTGATCGGAATTCTTGATCAGTGCCCTTAACCATCAACTACTCGTATATACAATAGATGAAATCAGTGAAAGTAAAACCCAAAGTATCAAATAGTTATTACTTACCGCCCAAGTCACAACTGCCTTAAAAAAAGATGTGAATAAATTGACACCTTCTATATCCGTTGGAATTTCGCACGTTTCAATTTCAAAAAGCCGATATGTTCCTAAAAAAAATCGTTAGCAAAATGATTTTTTATAATAATGTTTGTATATGTACATACCCAAATAGTCCATGAAGTAAAATCGAAGACTTAATCCAATGCTCTGAACCATATAGGCTTTGAATTGCAGGGGCGGTGCTCGTTTCAACTTGACTTCGGATACAACAGTATAGTTTATTATATCTTTTCCAGCTCGCGCATTCTGAACATAATCAGACATTTCCTTTGTGTCATCAACAACATATGGCCTGGAACCCTCTACTACACAAATTTCATATGATTTTTCGGTGTTTGTGTACGCAATCCCATCTGAGCGGTCTGCATTTCCTTCTTGTTTCGTTATCGACTTCCTATACGCAGATGCTTGAATAGCTTTGTTTCCCCTAAAAGAACCACAAACAAATTTAACACAGTAATTAAAAAGATACTTCACATAATACTTACGGTATATAACGAATATCCGAAAACCTGCACATTGCCTTCTTTAGAACAGGATGGATGTACGTATTCATAAATTCATCTTCCAGCATATCATGGTTCTTGAGAGGGTTGTCATGTAGCAAGGAATACGCGTCAAAGCTAAAAGATAAATAAGAATGTTAATAAATCCTTGTAAAACTGAGAATAAAAAAAGTTATTGTATACTTGCAAGGCAGGCAATGTCTCAAATAAAAGTCTCTTCAACTTTTTCAAAAATGGATCTTCCTCCGGTTCCAACAAACTCTCCAGCTTGTTATCCCATTGTTGATGGGTATAATTCTGTTAAAGAAATAACAGTGATGAGATTGGAAAAAAAAAAGTCAAATTACCAAGAAAAGTACAAAACGATACCTCTGAAAAAAAGTCATCAAGAAATTCGAACGCTCTTTCCGGAAACAACTCATCGACAGGCTCAAAGGTCTCTTTTAGAACTTGAATGTAGTCATCCTCATCCGTATATCTTAGAACAAACTCTGAAGACGGGGTTAGGTCCATAATTTCATTCCGGGTAAATTCATTAACAGAATCACTACAGTACTTTTGAAAACTGTGTATTAAATTATCCGTTTTCTCAGAGCACTGTTGTAGTTCATCGAGAAGATTTTTAACCAGAGTTTCGCTCTGTGATATTCATTTAGATTCTTAACTATAATGACTAAGTGGATCGCAATAAATCATATAACTATTTGATTGCTCACCTCTTCATGCTCGCTGTTATCCTTGCTTGTTTCTCCATTATGTATGTTGTCACTCTATGATGAAAATACTTTTCTTTTAAACTTGATACTATGAACAACTTTATAACACATTATAATATATCAGCCAATTTCTTACCTTGCTTTTTTTTCCTAAACAGTTTGTATCGCGTGTTTCATTTGTAGAAAGGGATCTTTACATGGACAGAATTAGTTTAGATAACTCATTGAAAAGAACTATATGGCATCAAGAAGTACCTTTTTTTTTTTCTTTCAGATTCGCTGATCTCGTCAACAAGAGTTTTCTTGATATTGACCTGAAAAATTGGAGAAATCTATTAACAAGCGAGATAACAGCACTCCAATTATGATCTAAGTTTGAAAAATAATTGCATTACCTTTGCTAAGATTTCGCTGAGTGACAGAAGAACCTGTGATGACGCGATTTCTCCCAGATAATTTTATGGATCTCCGATGGATTGTTCTCATCGTTTATAAAAAAAAACAAATTTTAGAGTAAAGCTCTAATATTAACAGTTTTTTTTACGTGCAATTGAAATGAAGTGTACACGCGAAAGAATCGTTTACGTTAAACGAAACCGCCACGTTTCTCCTCCCCATCGGGTTAAGAAAGCATCCAACCCTCCTCGAAAGCATCGAGGGGCGTAGTACACATCAATATTCAGCATGTACACGTGAAAGAGTCACTTGTAATAGGTGAAACCGCCACGCTTCTCCTCCCCATCAGGTTAAGAAAGCATCCAACCCTCCTCGAAAGCATCGAGGGGCGTAGTACATGAGAGCTTGCAATACGGATCCTGCTCTTTCAAATAACACTAACCTTTAGTTGTTTTTGTAACGATTGTGCTTTATCCGCTATCCTTTGATCTGATCTCCTAGCGAGTATACTTAACTCATTACCTAGTGAAGCGTGAACTTGAGCTGACCTATGGTGCAGACGTGGATTTTGTTGGATCCAATGAACATCAAATGATTCGATCGACCAGTCCTCAACGCTGGTGTTTGTCCAGTATTCTGCAAGTGGAGTTGTAAGCAGTTAAGTAATATGCAGGCCACAGTATAGGTAAGAAACTAGTAAACTACCTTCATAATGAAGATTTTCGACATCGCTAGTAACATAAAATTCATTAAATTGCGATTTTTTATAACGCGCGTTTGATCATCATAACTGATACATCATTCACTGATCATTGTACAACCCTGGGATGCACCAAATGGATATGTGTGACGAGTGACGACTGTGACGACACATTTTGAAATATGTGATGCTATCAAAGAGCACAGATCCTAGGCCATTTAATGCGAGCCAAGCATCAAATTATTTCTTCGCCCTTTCTTTTTTAAGAAGTTTGACTCTTAATTTTTTTTATTACAAATCAGATATGGGCAAATTATTTTTCATTGATAAGTGAACACAAAATTTATATTTGACAAAAATTAGAAATAAACTCTTTATTATATTTTTTTGTAAAGTATTACATGAGAAAGGGCCGGCCGGCTAAGTAAAAATGAAAGTAAAATACAATAGAGTAGCGGGTTGTTTCAAGGGAGGAAAGGCATAAAAGAACATGCCTGCTTGATAAGCCTGCCAAGCCCTAACTCATATACTGGCAGTTCCTTCCCCACTACTCTGGATTATTATTTAAGTTATTATCTAAACTATCACTAATTTCTTTACTTTCTACCCATCTCATAATTGACACCACTGTGCTAAATTTTGGATCCCCTTTACTATAATAAAAACTTTCTACAGTACTCTTTCCAATCTTTTCCTTGGTAAGATGTCAAATTTCACGTCTCACAGTTTCAAACGCATAGTCATTAGTCTTCTCCACTTTCTTTTTCAAGTTAAAAACTCTCTTAAAACGGTTCCTATTTTCATCTAAAGATGAATTGGATGAACTGGATGATGGAGTAGAATTACGTGACTGATTCAAAGCTTCAGATTCATTGGAAATTCTCTTAAAACGGTTCCTATTTTCTTCAAGAAATGAATTTGATGAATCGGATGAAAAGCTAGTAGAATTACCACTTTCATGTGATTGATTCGAAGCTTCAGATTTATTGGACTCACTATATTGGTCGAAATCACAACTTTGAACCTCTGCGTAATATTGATTTATTTTCTTATAAAGATCATATATACTAACAATGACAGATTTCTCTAGAGATATAATTCTGTTAAAATCATTATGATGAGCTTCTTCAATGTTAAAAAGTCTCGCAAAAATTTTCTGTATTTCTGTGGCATAACCAACATCACGTGTCTTAAAATTTTCAATTTCTGCAGTGAGTTTACCATTAAATTCAGTATTAATTCTGCCAAGCTTTACAGTGAAAGATGCATTAATTTCAGAAAAACGTGTGGTGACTTCATTAGAGATTTTGATATTAAATTCTACCATAAACTTTTTGTTTATTTCAATAAAGGTCTTTTCGATTTCCTTCAGTGTATTATTTTTTGTATCGATCATTAACGATTCTAGAAAGTTCATCAGAAATTTTTTGTTTGAGATTTGATCACACGGTAGCGATCCCTGTAATTAACACTGGACCAATGACAAAAAAAATAGCAGTTAAGATCAAAAAAAGCATAACCCTTGAAGAGTTGAGCAATGATAAACTGGACATGATTAGGCGTAGTAATTTTATTAAGAGATCTTATTGGTGGATTAAGTTTTTTTAGATATTAACGATTGATTTTTTTTAATATACAATATCTTGCGTAAATGTGCTGAGAAAAAATGTTTATTTTATACTGTATGCTTATTATGCGTGAAAAGAGAATTTAACCTGATTTAATAAAAGTTATGTTGCTTTATTGTGTGTATTTGTTATAACTACATTTTTCATAATTATGTTGCTCGTAGATGCCTAATTGTTAAAATAACAATATATAACGCGTTAACAGTGTGAAATCAGTATTAAGAATACTAATAAAATACTGAGGAATTTGCTGTTTATTGCTAAGATTATCTGTCGATCTATGGGAGATAGCTTATTCCGCTGGTATTTCTTTTTTCGAATTAATGAGAAAAAAAGTAGCTCCTATTCGTGCTCTATACAAATCTACTATTAATGACCCATAAATGAAAATTTGTTTTATTATGTAGAATGTGGTCAGAAGCATACCCTTTACATTTCATAGGATTAAGATCTGTAAATCGGTAGATTAAGAGGTGCAATTTCCATTCTTGTCTCATTCTAACTTGACTTGCGTGCCACTAATTCAAAGATTCGTAATATATATATTATGCCAGAACCTTCCTGAAAAAAAAATCAAACATTATTATGCACAGCGCCTTTGGTCCAGATTAATTATTTATTGATCTAGACTCACAATTTACTTCCCCAAAGATTTGCAAAAATATGACGGTATTCATGAGATTTTGGCTCTGATTTCATTGTTACAAAAATAGCATATCTAGATCTAAAAATAGGAGCACTGCAGAAACATATAAATTTTTTGTTCAGGTGATCATACTCTTATTCATTGCGGAGAAGTATAGTGATAACGTACTTACTTACTGCGTATAATATATGCTCAGCTAAGCCACCTACGTGATTCAAAAAAAGAAATATATGATTTCACATAATTCAATAATTGATTCACCCAATAATTCTCCTAGGCGGTTACCGAAGAGATAATAGAACTCATCATTAGTGAGACTTTCCTTTCATATTTTTTGTCACGATAATAACAACCTCTATCACGCTCACTATATACATTATATTTGCCATATCCATTATATCCATTATCATTTGAATCATTCAGCATCTCTTTTTCAGAATCGCTAGAATTAGAGTCATTGTCTGATTTAATTTCGTTTGATTCTCCCTGATTGCAAAGCAACTTCTTCATTCGTTTCTTTTACCGACTGAGTGTGAAATCAACTTTCTTATCAAAATATATACAATCCTTCACACAATCTTCCAAGAGCATTTTGTAAAAATCATCATCAGCTTCGAGCGAATTGCTTGAGCTGACTTCTTTGAAATCATCAGAAGAATTAGAGGCATGAGTTAAAGGAATAGGTGCTGTTGATTCGCTTACCTCAGCTGAAACTAAGGGATTCACTTGCACCTCTGACATATCAGTTTGACTGAAAGAATCATTATTAATAGAATTGTACTAATCATCGCTAAAATCTGAAGTGAGCTTATTTAAGAAATGATTCATGATCTTTTGGATTTCATCACTAGTAAACTTTGATATTTCATTCACATTATATGTCCTGATATATTGGATTTTATCTAATCTTATTTTTTCGAAAAGTTTGTAGATCTTTTCAGCTTTTTGAGTTTTTTTGCGCAAACCATCTCTTGTTATATTTGAGAGTGACACACCTGTATTTTGAGATCTTTTCTTACGAAGGATATTAATTTGCTTCATGACTTCATCATATATTAGACCTTTTGCCTTCTTTTCGCTAATTTTATTTTTATCACATAAGGCCTCCAACTAAAATACGAAATTTCTTCCATAGTGGTACCAGCATAATATTTCTTCTTAATTTGCTTCCAATCTGTGCTCTTCTGCAATAAGCACTTTATCACATAACTGGACTAAATGCTGAAATATCTCTATCATACTAGTCAAATGAAATGAAAACACTAATGCATCTGAATTATCAGATTTGCAAGACCGCGCAGTCTTAGAAATTTTAGTCACATAATTTTCTTTGGACACAGATAAAGAGATTTCTTGAATCAATCTCTACCCATTTTTTTCATTCTTCTTTTCCTTATTGCATCACTTTATTTCACTACTAACGATTTTCTTATGAGCCTCAAGCAAGAAACTATCCATATCTTTCTCTTCCAACGATTTGCCGTTAAGACATTTCGCAGAGTTAGCAGGTACTGTCACCACTTCTGTTATCAATTTTTGTTTTTTTTTTTTTTTAACAATGTGGTACTGTCATAAGTTTATTATATTTATGTCAAAATATTACAAATAAAATTAAATAAGAAAATAAAGCTAAAAGTAAAAACAATAAAAGACTAAACTATGACTATCCCCCGTGATTCTATTACAAACCCGTTTGGATTGACTAATCACCAGAACATCCCTCAGAAAAAACCAAAAAATTCATATTTGATGATTAAATTGTCAACAAGATATTCAAATGAAACTGTCAGTACCTATCTAAGAAGTCGAGTCAAGAAAAACCTAATTTTGTAGCTGAAATACACCAGGTAATCCAACTGTTTGATACAGTTTTATTGAAGACTTTTATAGTTGTAAGGCATTTGATTTTGACCTTTTTCTTTTTCAATCTCATAGAGATGCCATTTTTCCTTTCTTCTTGAATCATTTTCTTGCATCTGGGAGTTCAAATATTATCATGGAAAGCGGTAGTGAGGAAGTTGGAAGTATCCACGAGTATGCATTTAGAGTTAGAGGGAGAGAACAACTCCTTTAGAAATAATAACATCTGATTAGGAATAATGTCTTTAGCCAAATACATGCAGGTGATAATGTTAAGTAAAGGGTTCAATAAATCCATAAGTTGATTTTTGATGGAAAAATAAAAGTTGAGTCTATTCTCATTTTTCCCAATTTTGTCTAGAATCAATTTATGAAAGAAAATTCCAGTGGCTGAGCAGATATCTTTAATTTCCTGAATTCTATGTGAGCATGTTCACAAGTGATGGTAGTCTTCATTAGATGTCTTACAATAAATGCATAGCCAGTCTTTATATAAATCAGGTTGTCTTACTGAAAGATTATCTATAGTGGGTAGTTCGTTAGTTAGTAATTTCAATTTAAAACCTTTTCTTCTTTTTTGAATGAAAGAAGTAACAGCAGAATTATCCCCCATATTTGAAGAATATACAGAAAAGGAGGTAGGCCAATAAATGTCATAAGAGCGGGTATGTTGAACTAATTGGGAGTTTCTATTAAGGTCTATAAATGTTGAAAATTGTTTAGCTGTGTTAAGGTTTTTCCAAAATTTCCTGGTTAAAGATTCTATAGGGATTTGATGGAAGCTGAGAAGGAGTTGTAAATCATCACAAGTTGTAAAGTCAAGTAATAAAGGCGATTTAAAACATCCAGCTTTTGCTAAATTATCAGCTATATCATTGTAATAGTCCCTTGAATGACCTTTTACTTTAATCAACTTCACAGAAAGTTGTAATTTGTTTATTATATGATTAATCAAAATCTAAACAGTGTAATTAGATACTTTTTCACGTATTCTTGTTGTGTAATGATGATTAAGGCAAAAATTGTTATAACCATCAATAACTGCTTGGCTATCCAAATAAAATGTCAGCGAAAAGAGTTTTGGACAAGTGATTAGAGCAGTAAGTAAAGCAATAAGTTCAGCTCTGGTAGACGATGGGTGATATACTACTGTAGCATTAAAGGAATTTGAGTGGTGGTTATATATTAAATCTGGACAAATCCATCCTAGTCCCATTTTGCACTCTTCTGAAGTTGGATTAGAAAGAGAGCCGTCGGTGTAAAAATTAGGTGTAGTAAGATCTTTACATGAGTGAGCTAGGCAGAATGGCATCATTACAGGTATCATGATTCTACTCCCAATCGAAATCGTGATTTTTGAAATGAAATCACGTGATATAAAAAGCCTATCATATTAAAAATATATTTATTTGTGCATTAAGTCATTAACTAATTAAATTTGTGCTTGCGAATATTTCTTTAAACAACGAATGTGACTTTGTATTTTAAACAAACAATAATTTACCTTTTCCTATAGAAGAAGGGCACTTTGTTGTCGATCAGTATGACAGCAAGCTGTATTTATTAATTAGGAAATAAGTTCATGAACTTTATAAAGCCATTTTGGGGGTGTATTACGCTTTTGGATTTATAAATAAAGACGTTTTTATTTTAATTTTTTTTTAAAAAAAAAATTCTTTCGAAGAAAACAAAGATGGAAAATCATGATTATCAAGCTCCAGGACCTAATGATTTGAGATCACCTTGTCCTGCGTTAAATGCGCTCGCTAATCACGGATATCTGTAAGCTTTTATTCCAATTATTAAAAAAAAAAAAAAAAAAGAAAATTTTTCAAATTTCTCAAATATTTAATTATCCGTCCGTTTATAGACCTCGTGATGGAAAAAATATTACAGCCGGTCAAATGATTGCAGCAACTCACAAACAATTGAATCTTGGTAAAACCGTAGGGTACTTCTTAGCTTACGGAGCTATATTTAAAATAGGCAAAATCAAAATGTAAGTAAATCAAAATTTTTTCATTTTTTTTTTTTATTAATAAATGTTCTTTTTAAAAATCAAAAACTTGTAATAATGATGATAATTCTTTTTTGTTTTAATAAAGTACCCTTGACGATTTACATACTAATCCAATAAATCATTCAATGTCATTAACACGTACCGATGTCGAGTTAAATGAAGATTTTAGAAAAGTTTCACCGGCATTAATTGATTCATTAATTTCAGAGAAAGACGATACTAATAAATTAACAAAGTATAGTTTTGCAAGGCAATTTATCAAAAGACGCGATCAATCTCTTAAAGACAATCCCGAATTTCATGGACTATCTCGTTCGCAAAAAATTCAAGTATTTGGTGAATATTCTTTAACATTAAATTGTTTGACCGGAAGTGCAAATGAAATGGGTGTGGAAATTGATGTAAATACTTTGAAGGGTTTTTATCAATTTGAGAGATTCCCTGAAAATTGGAAAAAATCCGAAAAAACGATTAGTTTTCGTCAATTCGCTAAAATTATTAAAGAAACTAAGAAAATCCAAGAAAATTTAGAAAAATTAAAAAGTAAATAAGTAATGAACTAGTAACATGAGTGAATGGTGACAAAGGTTTAGAAATTTGATAGACGATAATTTTTTTTATATTTTAATATATTTTAAATAGAATTAATTATTATAAATAAACAGGTTTTCTTTTTTATCCGTGATTCGATCTCGTGATATTAGTAAAATTGTAAAGTTCGCTTAGAACTCTCAAATAGAGATTTGAATATCGCGAGATTGTTTGCCAATTTAAATTATAACGCCCAAAATTCAATCATAACATGTCACATGAAGTTTTCTAACGTGTTTAACTTCCACCAAATAATCGCGATGATTTCATTACATTATTATTAATTCATATAAATTTTATCTCTATTACTAAAACACAAAAACTATATACAAAACTTTTTTGTGTATCTATTTATACAAGGGAATGTAAAGAAGTAGGAAAAAAATAAAGTAGCAGAAAACACTAAATTTATAAATAACACCATTGCTTTAAGAAAATTTTCCATAAATCAAAGACTCCTTTGAGCAATTTTTTTATTCTCTTTTAATTTCAATGATAGAAGAAGTAAACGTTTCCCAATGATCCTTCTTTGTGGGATTTCCAAAAGGCCTCAAAGCAGCCAAAAACAATCTATATCTGCCATCCGGTAGTTCGACACCTTTTTCTCCATTTGATTTATCTATTGTGCCATCAAATTGTAAGGTTAAGATATTATTACTATCAGAATTATCATTTCTTTGTTGAAATTGTATGATTCCATTATTTGTTATTGTGCCTAAAGAATTTGGTACCAATAATTTCGTTGTATCTTCATCAAATGCTCTTGATTTTAGTTCATTATTTCTTAATTTATATGCTTTGATCGATCTTTTCGCAAGAGGCGTTTCAGTTGGTACATCGATTGGAGTCGTGGTAACAGTTGTTGTTATTGTAACGATTCCTCCGTCATCTTCATCAGGTGTAGTAGTTGGCTGTTCCGTCGGTTGAGTTTCGGTTGGCTTTTCTGTCGGTTGAGCATCAGTTGGCTGTTCTGTCGGTTGAGTTTCAGTTGGCTTTTCTGTCGTTTGAGTTCCGGTTGGCTTTTCTGTCGTTTGAGTTTCAGTTGGCTTTTCTGTCGTTTGAGTTCCGGTTGGCTTTTCTGTCGTTTGAGTTCCGGTTGGCTTTTCTGTCGTTTGAGTTCCGGTTGGTTTTTCTGTCGTTTGAGTTCCGGTTGGTTTTTCTGTCGTTTGAGTTCCGGTTGGTTTTTCTGTCGTTTGAGTTTTAGTTGGCTGTTTTGTCGGTTGAGTTTCAGTTGGAGCTTTAGTGGGTTCAGCAGGTTCTTTTACATCATCATCAGATTCAGCAGGTATGACGTCAACTGTTAAAATCTTCGTTCCTTGAGCAAAACGGACACCAAAAAGTGCAATGTCATCACCTTTCATAGTTACAGTTAAAACGTCTTCGGGGAGAAAGAATTTTTGATCATTTATACCAGACTGAAGAAAAGGAGCACCAGATTGATTATCCACTATTGGTAAAGTATCTAAACAACCTTTCATACCCATATAAGAAACGTAAAATTCTTTTTTCGTGAAGGTATCTTTAACAACAATATAGCCAGAATAAAGTGAATGGTCTAAATCACTTAAATCTTTAGGTGGGGTAAAACTCAAATTAATACTTTGAGATTCACCGGGACGTAAACGAATTGACGATTTTGAAAATTTAACTTTAGCAAATGAATTTGTTGCAAAAGGTGTATCTATTGGAACTAAGTTCACACCATCAAATCCAGTAATTGATTGAGCAGGTAAATGATCAAAAGTAAATTTGGTTGTTTCTTGACCAACATTTGTTAAAGTGAGAGATCTTTTCTTTCCATTAAAATGAGCTGAATCATTAAGCGCAAGTTTAGCAGGAGAAATTATAACCGTTGAAGTTAACGCGTCAACTAAATTAATTAATCCAGCACCTTGTTGAAGTATGGTTGTTGCTATGATGGAAGTTTTATTTCCTTCTACTTCTGTTTCAGAATTTTTAATAAAAAGCGGTTTAGCATTATTTTGAAGGATATCACGAGCAAGGGTTGAATTTGATTTTCCTTTATTTTGCATGACTAATGCTAAAATACCGGTAACGAAAGGTGTTGAAATGCTTGTTCCGGATAAAGTTTGAAATGATCCAAGAGAAACTGGGAATGTACTAAAAACGTTACTTCCGGGTGCCGCAATATCAGGTTTAATATCTAATTCATTTGTGGGTCCATAAGAACTAAACGCGGAAATTTTTAAGGTGTCTAGGTTATCGAACAAGGTACTTTCTCTTGGAAATTTTACTGTAAAATTATCGTCTTTTTTAATTTCATCAATTAATAATACTCCATCTTTACAAGAAATCATTGCAACGGGTATTATGATTCCATTTTGATCAAATTCGGGTGTTGTTATTCCATCAACGTTATTATAGAGAACGATGGCTGTAGCTCCAGCAGCTTGAGCCACGTTGATTTTTTTTGTTTCTTCACAACCTCCTTTACGAATTAAAGCGACTTTTCCCGTAAGGTCTTCATTAATTGGTTCACAAGCATCATCTTTTGAGTTTGTAGTATTTGAGGTTGGAATAATTGAAAAGGAATCTTCAAGTTCAATAGCATTTCCATCTTGTGTGAGATATTGAATTTTACGAGTAGAATTAGAACCAGGTTGAATAAAAAATGAATCGATTTGTTCAGAATCAATGGATGCGACAGAAATAACACCGGGGGACGTGGATGGTGACGAAGATTTAAATATTCCTTTATCACCGGAGCTTCCAGCAGCTGCTACAACGAACAACCCATTCTCTGTTAATTTTTCAGCAACGAGACTTTCGGGACCTCCAAACCAAGCATTATCACCTGATACAAGTGAAAGATTAATAATATCCATTCCATCTTCAAAAGCTTTTTCCATCGCCTTAATAACAAGTTCACTCGTGGTTTCTCCGTTACATCCGAAAATTCTATATGCTCCAAGTGTAACTTTAGGAGCAATGCCAGTTACGTTGTTTGCCGAATCTTCACCAGCGATAATACCAGCTGCATGCGTACCGTGACCAACACATTCATCTAAAGGATCATCGTCAGGTTTCGGAACATTCGTTCCATTAAAATCATCTCCAACGAAATCGTAACCAAATTGTACTTTACAACCGTCCTTTTTAAAACATCCTCCAAGAGCTGGATGCTTATAATCTATACCTGTATCTATAATGCCAACTTTAATTCCTGATCCATCAATTCCAAATTGTTCGCGAGCTTCAACGACGCCAATACTGCTGTGTAAAATTGAAGAATTTGATTTATTCTCTACCACCTTGAATTCGGATCGTTGAATTTTTGTCTATAAATTAAGAAACATAATGTGTAAGTAAAATTTCTTCGAAATGCTGCGTCACTGCGTCACGTTTACTTACCACGGGCCAAACACGTTTAACACCTTTTAATTTTTTGAGTTTATTGAGATCTTTCTCGTCATCAAGTTTAATGGAAGCTCCATTAAATACCTTTGGATTAAAAGTTTCTCTGATTTTATGATTTATACCTTCACCTTGAATTGTTCTTGCAAATGAAGCAACAAAATCTTGGTCTTTTTCTTGATCATTAGAATTATCAAATTCTATTATATAAGAATTTGAAATTATGTTGGAAGATCTTTGTAAAGTAATTTCTGATATGGAAAATTCTTCTATCGGTGCAGAAATGATTATTCGAGTTGATATTAAATAACCCAAGACTGAAAATAGTAGTTTGCTTGAAGCTCTCATGCTTATACTTTAATGATGAAATTAATTATTAAAATATGTAATAAATTAGTTTATGATAGATGAAAAATCGCTCCAGGCGTATTTTTTACTTCGAAATGATGATGGGGGGTATTGGAGGAAAAGAAATAAAAATCAAGAAAGAATAAAAACAAATTTATCTTTCTTTTTTTTTTCGTCAAAAAGACCAATATATGATTTTAAAATACCAAGTATACTTTTTTATCTCGAAAGAGATCTTTTTTTTTTTTTTAAAAAAAATATATTGGTCTTTTTTCCTCCAGGGAATAAAAGAAAGAGTGTGTTTTCGCTTTAGGTGTTAGAGTGGTGGAAACCAAACCAAGGAACAATCGGTTTACTGACATATTTATAGAGATTTCATTTACAATCATTCTTGAAATTAATATTTCTCCTTTATGAACGTCTTTGTACATTTTTTCTCTTTATTTATTTTTTAGCCAATCTTTTTGTGCTACATGCTTTGTATTCAACACTTTGTAAATTTGTAAATGGTATTATTGTTTGATTCAAATGTCTTGTTGCCACTTTTCGGTAAATCGAGAGCAATTTGAAGTACAAATCACCAATTTGAATCTTGCATCATGTACATCACTTCATTACCAGATAAGGACATTTAACTAATTAAATTCTAGTTGACAAACCCGTTAATTATTAACCTTCGAGAAATATGATACGAGTTTCACCTTTTGATCACAAAGAAATGACGTTACACCAATTGTGTTATTTTACCAGGAATATGACATATTTTCTCGATTTAATTCAATTAATTGACAAATTGTTTTACTTGTAAGTCTTGTTGTCTTTAGCTAGCGTTTTTGTTCTTTTAACTGTTAAGGTAACTTTATAAATGCTTTCTCATTTCACTTCATCTTTTGGTTAGTTCATACTTTATTTCCAACCATTATTGATTTATTTAATCGTTCAATGAAAAAAATTTTTTTTTTTTGAAACAAAAATTATAACCTTTGTACAATTTTTTCATTTAATTACCTTGTAGATTTCTGCTCTTCAGGCATGAATAATGATTTAGATGTATTCTATCTCTCAAATATGTCAGAAATGTTACGGGTTTTATTATAAACCATCAATAAAACATAAAATAGAGGTTGAAAGTATTGATATGTTGAACGATTTGAAAAAAAAAGAAAAATATTTTAAAAAAATATATATATAATATATTTGATGAATAGTAGTAATAAATAAACCTTTGAACGACATAAAAAAAAGAATTGTATTTTTATTTTTTTTATATCCATAAAAACTATATGATTTATTTACAAATTCTAGAGATCAACTTTAGAATAGCATTTTTTTCTTTGGTAGCTCTCGGTATTCATACTGAAACTTCAACAGATTTCTCTTATGTATGGAAAACATCTCGCGACATACGTTGCCACCTATTTATGAAAGTTTAGACGAAAACCATTCACAAGTCTTTTAAGAATGAATGTCTGAGTTTAGGTTTCCAAAGTGCCATTTGAACCCAATGCATAAACGATTAAAAATATGATGAGAACAAACATTAATGTTTTCTAATTCAGTACATTTACATTCGTCATGAGGAGGCCTGAATGAGTTTCTTTCAAATAATTCTCTGCAAAAATTCATGCTCGAAGTAGCAATACTTATATAACTTGTTGGAAGGCATCGAAACTATTGAAAGTTTTAAAATGGTGGAAAAGAAAAATCTTGATTGGTTGCTAATTTTTTTTCGACTTGAATTCGATTTTATTAAACATTGATATTTTTTTTACAAACAATTAAATTATAATAAATATAAAGTTTTATCACAATTTCAAAATTTATATAAACCCGAAACTTTTTTTAAATAAAAAAATTTTTTCATTAATTCTAATTATTTGATGTCTCTCGATTAAATCATCTACGATAATTTTTCTCTTCGTATGCTCCTTTGTCAACAATTCACGTAAAGATTAAATTCAACTTGGGATTCTGAAGGTATTATTAAGGTCATTTCTTTGTAGAAAAGATTTCTTTTGTTTATCCCAATCCCAACCATTTTTTTGAATGGGTATAATGTAAACAAGAAACATCATTCATTTTATGATGGTTTTGGCGTTGATGCTTAATGTCTTTGGAAAAATCCAACATCCACGTCATATTTGATAATGTTGCAAATATTTTTGAATGATCCATCTATCAACATCAATTAAAAAAAAAACTGTTAAATTATCCTGAAATATTTCTTTAAATAATAAAATAAAAAAAAAAGAATTACCTGTAATGAATAAACAGGAGAACGATTATTTCCAAGATAAAGTGACCAGCCATCATTATTTCTTGCGCCTTTCTTTACTCCTTGGTGAATATTATAATGATTTTTATTATAACGTAAATCAAAAATTCTAATTATACCATTCCTTGAAGCACCAGCTGCAATCCTATAAGCATCGTAATCCACAGAAAACACTACGAAAAGTCAAATCAAATCAAGTTAATTTCCGCAAATATAATCCCTTTTCCTTTCCCAAAAAGAATCATTTAACACACCTGGATGATAATCGTAAGGATCTCTATAAGAAGCAACGCATTGCATGGTTCTAACATCAAATAATCTACAAACACCATCATAACATCCGGTTACAAAAGTGTTTGGTAAATTTTGATTTGAAGCCAAATCATAAACGGTACTTTGATGCCCCTTTATTTCCGTAGATTTGACCAGATCATTTGGTGTAACGTAATATAAAGTAAGATGTTCTTTACTTCTATTCCCAACGCCAATTAAATTATTCTTTGAGGACAATCCACGAATAACCCTCGGTCTACCAGGTAATTGAATTTCAAGTTGACTTTGGGTGGTTTCGGTGTTCCATATTCTCAGTGTTTCATCAAAACTTATTGAATATAAATTTAATGGATCATTTGTAAACATATAAATCGATTGTACTGATTTCTTATGTCCTTTAAATGTCTTTTTTGGTGTTAAATTATATGGTCGACTATAATAATCTTGTCGATAATTAATATTATTTCTTAATTTCTTCAAATTCCACTTTTTGATGGTAGAATCCACGGAACTTGTATATATTTCATCATTCCTTCCGCTTATTAAAATATCGGTAACGTCGTTATTATGTGCCATGAACCTCTTTTTCCTATGATTAAAATCCGCATAAGAATATTTATTAAAGTAATATATCTCTATGAAATTTTCTACGCAGCATAGTAACTTTTCTTTATCAAATTTCAATTTTGGAATTAAGGATTGACCATGATATTTTGTTACAACTGTTGAAGAAAATTTCTTCTTCTTCCAATTCTGTTGTGTAATATATCCGAACGAAACCTTTTGCTGCCAATTATCAGCTGAAAGGGACGAGGAATGTCGTTTCTCTATGGTGGGATCGGATAATATTATGTTCCATTTTTGATTGGTAAAATATAATTTAAATCCGTATTCCTTTATTAATTTATTATATGATTTATTAACTAATCGTAATTGTACTATTTCTTGTATTGTTAATAAGTTAAGGATATTAACTATTATATCAAAAGGAAAATTAAAAATCATCTAGGAAAACGGGAAAATCGGAAAATCAATAATAAAAAAAAAAAAAAAAACCACCACCACCATATATATACGAAATATATATGCGGATTTGTCATCCAAGGTTGTGTAACCAATGTTTTTTGACTTACTGTAAATGTTAAAATTTTTTAATATTTTGCCATTCAATTAGATATTATAAAAATTTAAACCGAATGTGATTAATTCAAAATTATAAACTTTATCAATTACTATCTAAAAGATGATTGTATATAGAGAGAAATTTTACAATTTTGATATTAGTAATCAAATGTAAATATAATTCAAAATTAGTTTTAAAAATGTAGTATAAAAATATTATCCACTTTTTTTTATTATATTATATATATTAGTAAAAGTCAAGTTTAATCTTTTTATTAATATAATTATTACTATTTAAGTTTTATAATAATTTATATTAAATTAGAATTAAAAAAGGCATAAATCTTTAAATCAATTATAATTATAAAATACAATAAATAATCAATAAACTTAACTGATTTAAATAGTATTATAGAATGAAGATTAGAAACTTATTTTTATATAAATTAATTTAATTATATTTTTAATATTAATATTAATAAAAAAAAAAAATAAAACTTAATAATTAATAAAATTTAAAATTTTTAATGTTTAAGCTTTATTTAATTAAATTATTTTAATTTAGATTATATTGCAATTAAATCATTTATATATATATTTCTTTATTAAATAAATTTTTACTAATCATATAAAAACTTCTAATTTATATATGAGATCTTTTCAATAAAAAAAACCTATTAGAAAAATAAAATTTAAATTTAAATATATTTTAATTTAAAAATTATATAATAATATAAAGTAAAATTAATTTTTTTAACATTTTCATTCTTTTTTATAATAAAAATACTATATATTTATTAATTAATAATTTAAACTCAACAATTAAAAATAATAATATTAAAAAGCTAATCTTATAATTAAAAATAAAAAATTTAAATATAACAAATTTTAAAAAAAATAATAAATCAATGATAAATACTTTAAAAAAAAAATTGATTGTATAAATTAATATAATAAATATAAATTAAACTCTAATTATTAATAATAAAAATTTTATATTATTTGTTATTTTTATTATAATAAATTAAGATTAATAAATATTATTACAATTAGTTGTTTAAATTAAAATTATAATGATTAAATATAATGAAGATTAATTTATAATTAACTTAAAAAAATATTAATAATTGATAGTTTTAATTAATAAATAAGTATTATCTCATAAAAATATATATAAATATATGATATTTTTACAATTCTAATTATCTTAAATATTTACTAATAAAATAAATTTTTTTACTAAATTTTATTTTACCTTTAAAAATAATTAAAAAAATAAATAATAATCTTTAATTTTAAAATTTAGATTAAATTTTAAGTTTATAATTGGAAATTAGAAATTAATTAAAATTATTTTAAATTATTTAAATATTTTTATTTAAGTAAATATAAACAATAACAAAATTGAATTTATTAATTTTATTAAATAATAATAATAATAATAATACATTCTATACCTTATGATCAATTATAATAACTATTTTCATTTAAATCTTGCAATTTATTCATGATTTTTTAGATTTTATAACTTCATTATAATTTATTATAATACTTTTATATTTATTAAATAACTATTAAACTTTTTAATTTAAATTAAAAAAAAAGTAATTTTTCTTATTATTATTAATAGTTGAATAATTTCTTTAATAATTTTGATATAAAATTATAATTTTTTCTTGAAATTAAGATCCTATTTTATCACAACTCAATGATTCTATAATTAATAATAAATCTTTATAAATGATAATTCTATTTTTTTTTTTTTTTATAGTATTTATACTCATTCATAAAATGGATCCATTCTTATTATACTATTAATTAAAAAGAAAAAACACAGTCGGCCCCCTATATAGTCACGCCCTTCGGGACCGAAAAAAATGATGTGAATATAAAAATACTATATGTGACTAAAGAGAGGTTTTTTTTTTTTTTAATAAGTTTATTAGTAACTTTGGCCCACATATAATGTAATTTAAAATTTAAATAATGATAAATTATAGACTTCTAGCATATCACAATGTTAGAGTTAAAAAACTAAGGTTTAAAACAAAACCTTAAAACTGACATTAATTATTGGTAAGGGTAATATATATATTTTGAGTTGTGCACGCTCATTCTATACTATATACTGTATAATATACATACCACGCGACAGTACGTATATCTTATTTTTTGGATGTACAGATACAACACATGATGCTGAATATTAAGAAAAGTTATTTCAAATTTCGATCCAACTTTGAATGAAATACAGGAAAAGGACAAGAAGCCATTACATTCGTTAGTATTTTGCCGGAAAATGCCTTATGGAAAAACCCAGAATTTATTTGTCAATGTCACATTCGGAACGAATTCAGGACATTATCCAAACATTACACCACTTTCGCATCTTTGGTTTCGTTTTCCGAATAATTTTGGTATCAGTGTTTCCCGGAAATCTATTTTGATTAATCCGGTCACACGATCAGTCCTACAATGAGATGGTAGTATTCTCAGCCATATAAATTATAAGTATAGACTTGTAAGAATATTTAAAGATTCGTCGAACCAATTAAAGTTAACGATTATTTAATGAATACCAGCCGTGGCCTTCTCAATCCGACCTAATCTAAGACAAAGTCGCGATTCTCATATGAAAATCAGTAACCAAATATTTACATAAGTGTGTAAATTATTTTAACTGGGAAATTTTGTCCGATGAGAATTGAAAATTGCCGGAATCGTATTAAATCTATTTCGCTACTATTTTTAGCTAGCTTTGTTTTTCTTTCAAACTAAATTTTGAGACCAAATTCCTAGAAAGGTACAGTTTTTTTTGATAACAATAATAAAAGCAAATTTCGGTTATATACCCACAATGCATATACTATATGTTGGAAGATCCCGTTTTGCATTTCGGAAATGCATGAATGTATGATTGTCTAATGGCACTAAAAGGATCGAATGAATCGACAATTCATTCTGTTTTATTATATTGTTTTTTGATGTACAATTCACAGTATTATTTTTAATTTTTATTTTAAAAGTATTTAATTCCGAAATTCAAAAGACTATTTTAGAAAATTAAAATCATTCCTTAATTTTTTTTTTTTTTTTAAAAAAAAAAAAATTTAAATTTTCATTCTGAAAACAAACAAACAAACAAAAAAAAAAATGTGTTTAATTACGATTTTTTTTTTAAGCATCTATACGATTTATTATTATAATAGGTATTCCAAGAGAGAAAATCCTTTACCTGGACCGCTCCCCTTACCATTGATTGGTAATTTATGTCATTTTAAATTTTTTTGGAAAGGTAATGATAAAAAAATTTCCAATGAATTTATAAAGGAATTAAGTTCTCGATATGGGGATATTTTCGAAACCTACTCCTTCAATGAAAGGATTATTTGGATTAATCGAATCGATTTGGCGGAAAAATTTTTAAATACCGGCGTAACGAACGTCAACCTTACCACATTTAATCAAAAAGAAGGGAATCATGAAAATTTGACATATAATTATTTTCAATTAAGACATAAAAATGAAATTAAGGAATTAAAAATTAATGAAATGGGGATTTATCATAATCATGAATATAGTTCTTGGAAATTTCATAGGAATGTCTTGATCAGGAGTGTCACGTTTCCTAAATTTTTAAAAGGGATCGTAATGGAACTTCAAGAACAATTTAAGGAATTAGAAGATTATTGGAATGATATGGAAATGACCGAATCCGAAATCAAAAATTCAAATGATCAAAATTCACTTTCAAATGACAAAACAAAAGACGACAAAAGAAATGGTGACAAAATTATTGATATATCAAAATGGATGAACAGGTTTACGTTTGACATATTTCTGCAATCAATTACAAGGAAGAAATCATTTTCAATGGCAGATTATTTTAATCAAATTACAAAGGATGAAGAAAAGAGATTAAAGGGAATCGAATGTCATTTAAATGATAGCAATCAATTTATTAATAAATTTAAAAATAGTTTATGGTTATTAGATCAGTTTAATTTTGTATTAATTGGTTTACCCAAGTGGGTTGAAAAATTTTTTCTAGGTAACGTCAAATTTTTCACTTGATCACCTAAATTGTAAAAAAAAAGAAAGGATTTCTAATTTAACCTTTCTCCTTTACGTTTGGGATCAGTTTATAAGTTATATAACAGAAAATACTTTAAGGATTATTGGTGGCTTTATGAAACGTTATTAAAAATTGTACAAACACGTCGATTCGAAATTTCAAGTTCACCGAAAGAACCAGATTTAAAGGTCGATTTATTAACCTCATTAATTAATTTTGGAACTTCACATCCAACCGGCATGAAAAGTGGAAACGAACGCACGTTAACAGATGATGAAATCGTTTTCATCATGAAGAATATAATACATGGAGGAATAGACAAGGCAAGGACCTTCCCACCCCCTTAAAAAGTTTTTGATATTTAGTTTTTGCTAACTTATATCCATCATTTAGGTCTCACATTCATTTAATTATATCATCTATTATATATGTAAATATCCAACAATAAAATACCGCATGATTGAAGAAATCGATTCAATCTTGGGAAATAATCACGATACGTTCACATATTTTATGATAGGTAAATTGTATTTTTGCGAAGCGGTAATTAAAGAAGTATTAAGGATACATTCAGTACACCCATTAATTTCAAGGGTGTTAAATGAAAAAGATAATGTTGGTGGATTTACATGGAACCTTGGTCAAATGTTTTATATCAATCTGCATGCTATACATAATCACAAATACGACTGGAAAAATCCTGACGAGTTTAATCCCGAAAGGTTTTTATATTTAGAAAAGGAAAAAGAATTAAATAAGAAGGAATATCACTTTATCAAGGAAGAACTTGAAAGGAGAACTTTGTTCGCATTTGGTATGGGATTAAGGTCTTGTCCTGCTAAAGATTTGGCCATGATAATGCTTAAAACCATGGTGGTCATTTTTTTGAGAAAGTATGATGTTATTTTGGTGGACCAAGAAGAACTTCAAATTAATTATGAAAACATGTTAAATGTTTGTGAAGAATTAAAAGTCAAAATCAGACCAAGGAATCATAAGTAGCTATTGAATGTATTATAAACAGTATTATCTAGACGTGTTTGTCTACAACTAATAATAAAAAAACTTAATAATATAATTATAATGAAAACATTTAATAACGATAATGATAATGAAAGTTTTAATCGTATTGTAAGCCTATTAAAAACTAAATATGGGATCAAATATACAACAAATTCTATAGGAGAGGAAAGTGCTTAAATGTTTACCCATTTGAGTCCCATTCGGTAAAGCGCGCGTTCTTTAATTTAAAAACAATTATTTGATTACATTATAGTAAGTTTTTTTTTAAAAAAAATGAACGTTCATTTGAAGTCCAAGAACGGGTAAGCATGGTTACCTAAATTTTTTTTTAATTTCGGGATTTATATTTGTATGAACAAAAATAATGGTGCATAATTATATATTGTGATTATATTGTTAATTGACCGATATGGTTCTCCATTTTCATTTAATATATTTTGGAATCAGCTTTAACTAATGCTATGACCATCCTTACGGAATTAAATGTTCGAAAATTTAAAACATTGTAAAAAGGAAATGATTAATTAAAATATATGTGAGTTGTAAGATTTTTAAAAGATTTTCAAATTTTGGGTTCAACGGGTAAAATTTTTTCTGGATATGGTTTAACTGGAAAGGCTTTGTTCTTGTTTGTTCACAAATTTTTTTCGTATTACTTCACATTTCTCTTAGAAGTGGGATTGCATCACATCATAAATAAACAACCTCCTTCCATATGGGCACATCCTTTATAATATTTACTTTTTAGATAAATGGATCATTTCACAATTGAGGTTAGGTTGGAGTTATGGGATGATCTTTAGACTTGAAAAAAATCTCTTTTTTTTTTTTTGGAATGTTACAAAGAAATAATTCGTGATTTTAAATGGTCATTCCATGTCACTGCGCCACCACCGACTAATGCAGACAAGTTGTACGACATGTTTAAAAATTACTATTTGTTTGACTAAACCTCATTTTGAAAAAAAAAGGTTACTAACAACGGAGTTTACAATGCGATGCGATGAAACAAGTTTATTGGAAAAACTAGCGTTTCACAAAAAATGAGAATTATATAAAGTCTTTCCTTTTCACTTATGTTTTTGTTATTTCGTCAAGGAAAGCGCATGCTCTCTCTCTATCTTTTTTTATATATATAAATTCTACGAAATATTTTAAATTTAATAATAATGGCAAATATGTCTTATAATAGTCCACCTCAATATCAACAACAAGGATTCCCTCAACAGCAACAAGGATTCCCTCAACAGCAACAAGGATTCCCTCAACAGCAACAGGGATTCCCTCAACAGCAACAAGGATTCCCTCAACAGCAACAGGGATTACCTCAACAGCAAAAGGGATTACCTCAACAGCAAAAGGGATTACCTCCACAGCAACAAGAATTATCTCCACAAGGATATTTTCCACAGCAAGGATTCCCTTCACAACAGCAAGGATTCCCTCAACAACAGCAAATGTTTGTCCCCCAACAGCAGGGTATTCCCCCAGAACAACAAGGTGTATATGTTCAAGGTGGTATTCCTCCACAATTTCCACCTCAACAGCCCATAATGTATGCTGCCACAAACCAAATGAATCCTCAAGTTATGATTACTAAAGAAGCAAGAAGAGAATGGAGATTTGGCTTATTTGATTGCTTTGCAGATTCCTCGTTGTGTAATTATCATAATTTTTTTTTTCCCTTTAACATTGAAATATAATTCAATTAAATTTAACAAAATTTTAACTTTTCTCTTTCACATTAGGTTTTAAAACGTGGTGTTGTCCTTGCATAACTTACGTAAGTCGATATTATTTAAGCACTTTTTTAAAATCATACAAATTCAAATTCAAATTCTCATTTCTTTTATAATTTATAGGGAGAAAACAAAGAAAAAATATCAAACAGTCCAGGTTCATGTGCAACTCATGCTTTGATATTTTGTTGTGTTGAATATTGCCTTGGCTTAGGTTGTCTTCTGGGTGCAATGACTCGTAATGAAGCGAGAAATAGGTATCAAATTGAAGTAAGGATACTTTTATTTTTTTTTAAAAAAGATTCTTCAAGTGGGGAAATAAAAAATAATTTCTTTTTGTCTCTCTTTTTCTAGGGAACTGGATTGGGAGATTTTTGTACTCATTTTTGCTGCAGTTGTTGCGCTTTGATACAAGAAAATCGGGAAGCTAATTCATTGCCATAAAATATAACAATACATATTTATATCCCAATCAAAAAAAAAGATTAATTCTATTACAATGTTGAATGTTGAATTATAGTTTTATGTAATTTATTAATATTATTATTATTATCGTTTATATATATATATTTGCTCTCCTTTTTTTTTTATGTAAGAACTTTTATTAATTATTTATATTAAAAGATCTTCCTTTTTTTTTTTTTTTTTAAAAAAAAAAAAAGATACTGTATAATAATATAAAATTCATCAATCAAAACACTCGAAATTCCGAAATTTTATTTGATGCTTATTATAATTAAAATAAAAATGAGGCGTTAAAAAAATCGTTGTACCAGGTGTATCATGATATCGAATGATTTGATCCTATATTTCTGCATATGAAGGTAATCTTTATTGTATTTTTGCAAGTTCATTGTCTGTAGGTTTGTATCGATTTCATTAAAGAAGGAGTCTAACTGTATAAATGTTATTAAAAAGTTTATTTGGTAAAATAGTAGATGTTCTTTACAGCTGAAAAGATTAACATTTTACTTACAAAGCGCCCATGTACATTTAATTATATAAACTATATTACCTAAAAAGGTAAGTAACTTTACGATATTGTTATTCGTCACGAAAGTGCAAAATAAAGTGTTTTATCAATATTTTAAGCGTTTTCTTCTAAATTGTTCTGATTAATTTTGAACAAAATGTTAATAATAAATAAAATTTGTGATTTTTATTAAAGAAATTTCAGCCTTTGAAGATTTGCTACTTTACATATTATAAGGAATTATATGGAAACATTGATTTTACTGACAACGTTCCCATTATATTATTTATGTTCAAATTATTTTATATAAATAAGTAATGTAAAATCCTTATAATATTAGAAATTCTTTAGTAGTTCTTAATGTCTCAGGTAATTGATCATATATTGTTTTATCACTAACTTGTTTTCCTTGAATTTTTTTGTATTTTTATTATTTGTTGTTATTATTTTCTTTAATTATTTGTAATTATTATAAATTATATTTGAAACTACCAAATGAAAATGAAAAGATAACATTCAAATATTTTAACTTTCAAAAGATCATATGAGAAATTTGCTAGGAAAATCAGGCCAAGAATTTTATTGACTAAAATCTAGACCTTATTACATTTAATGCATTTAATCTAAATGCAATAAAATCAAAATTTTGTTAAAAAATTTCCAGAGCCTGATTATATTAATATTACAATCTATTTATAGTTATCATATTTAACATGCAGATATTTCTTCAATATGTTTAAGTATTTTTCTAGTATTAAATAATTTAATTTCTAATAGATTAGAAATAAATCTTTATTACTTTTTATAATTTTAAAAGTAATAATAATAATTAATCTTTATTTATTTCTTAATATTCAATTAAATATTATTTTTAAACTTTTAAAAAAAAATTTTTTTTCTAGCATGAACTTATTTATTATTTTATTCAATTTAGATATCCAAGTTTTACTTAAAACTAATTATAAATTATTTGAAGATAAATAACTACCACATAATATTTCTTTTTTATTGTACTTTTCTTCATATTTTCAATACTAGCAACTATCAGTTTCTAAAAAATTAAAAATTATTAGTAATTTAAAAAAAAAATAAAATTTATATAAATTTTTAATAATAATATCTGAGTTTATATTAAAATTATGTATTTTATTATCTTTTTACTTATCTTTTTTATTTATTTCTTACTTTCATATGAGTTTAATTCTACTTTTATTTAATATTTGATTGCAAATGTACTTGTTATTGTAAAATCTCTGCAGTTTATAATTCTTAAATCATGATCTTTTAGCTTTCATAATTAGTTATTTTACAATTTGTAAAATTAATTTTTGTTAATCTATATATTTTATATATAAATCCTTTTAAATATGATTTACTTATATTAAAACTTTTAAATTAAATTTCAATTTGTAATACTATTAAATAAAATAATTTAATTTAATAACTGGATAACACTCTTATAAGAGTGTTATCCAATTGCGTTATAATGTTATCTAGATATGAGTATAATGTTATCTAGTTACGAGTATAATGTTATCTAGTTACTGTTTTTAATGTTCTGTGGCCTTTTTATTGCCTTGTTGCTATCTGCTTGTTTTCATTGCTTTGTGGCCTTTTTATTGCCTTGTAGATATCTGATTGGTATTGATCTCCTACGCCTGAATGGGTGTCAAATTCTATTTTGAGGGTTGCTGGCCTTCCGTAACTGTTTGGATTCCTGGTTTTATGTTGAGGATGCTGGCCTTCTGTGCCTGATTTGGTTCTCGGTTCTATATTGTTGTACTTACCTTTTGCGCCTGCTTGTTTGTCTGTTAAAATACCAAATTGTGATAAAAAAAAATGCATCAGATGGTGCAGTAAATTTGCGTTTAATTTTGGCTGACATTATACCATAATTTTGGCTAATCTTTTGGACACATAATTTGAGGTTCCAACTTGGCGATATGGTAGCGACCTGGTAGTATCCTGGAGCTGTCATGGAACTGGCAGGGAACTAGAGTGGTTCTATTAGTTTGCCAGT